AAAATATTGGGTTTAGCAAAAAATTACTTTCTATAAACATTATAGACCAAAAATCAGAGAACACGTGGGTTTTTTTAGAATTTCGATTGGATAATTAGTTTAAGAAAAAATTAAATAAATCGAACGGCATGTCACGACTGACAGTGCTGAACGCGGAGATGCGAGGAAGGGCGAGATTCCTGTGCCGAAGTCAAAGCAAATCGACTCTAGTGATGGCGATGTTGTTAGGGTCGATTTTACATTGAAACGCTGTTGTGTTGTATATTCTATTGCGAAAGTGCATCACTGTGCATTATTTTTTACTAATAGCGCGAAATCCACTGAGCTGAGATTTTTAATATTAAAAGTTTTAAATTATTAAAAGTTATTAATTAGCTTATTGCTATAATAAAAATATTAAATATCTACTTAATATTAAAGTAAATATTTTTTTTATCTAGAAACGGATTTAACGAAAAGCAGCAGGTCTGACAGTGAACTTGAGTGAAAAATCAGATTAAGGCATGTTTTTTTTCCATAAAGTCCATTTCCTTTTCAGTTTGTTGAAGGACGCGGAAACTGGAGAATACATTTTTGTTCTAGTTTTCGAAAAATGCGTCCTTACTTTTTTGCATTTGGCCATGTGAACTATTCTTTTTGGGGAACATTATATTTGTTGGACATGTACAAATTTGCTGATAAGTATCCAGAATTTCATGAAGACTTTATTAGAGGAAATTTTGTTGTGAAAAGTTGGAACAGAAACTTTTACCAACTATGCATAGATATAGCTTTAAACACATAAATACAAACTCAAAAGATGCAGGAGGAATCGTGTGATTTACTAAAACCAGCACAAAACTAGACGAATGGTTTTTAAGCTACAATATGATTGGCATGATGGTAGATGAATTTCGTGCATCATGAGACCTAAGCAACCACTCAAGTCAAAACGTAGAAAGTAGAAAAAAAACGGATGAAAATTGATGAATATTCTGTACAAAAACTACATGATCAGTTTTTACGATTTAATGTATTTTTAAAAAGCGTAGATTGTCTTCTCGTAATTTCAGCTAATGAGATTGCATCGCCAAATGTTCAAACATCCTTATTAATATACAAAAAAAAAATGAAAAAGAGAGCCTAGCAAAATTTATTGTTACTGTTGGAACTCCCAATTTTTATCAGCATAGAAAAGAGAATAAACTTCCAAAACTTCGTCGCGCAGATACCTATAAAACTGTCTCTGAAAAGAAGAAAATTATTCAAGCTGAGCAAGAATTTTTACAAAAAATACTAGCAATCAAGGCAATTAAAAGAGACATAAATATTATGAGGATATTTTCAAATAGGAATTGACAGCATATCCAATGTCACTTGTACCAGCAGGAGTTTTATCGATACCATAAAATAAATCTGCCTTAGGTTCTATAATAGAACAGTTTACAGTTGTTACAAAATCACAAAACGTGTCACATTTTTGATGGTATGGGATTGATTCAAGCCGTTGGCAAACCATCAAATGCCAAAACATTTGACGACTATGCAAGAATTTTGAAATCAATAGTGTTCAAGAACCCCTACAGCGTTAAAAGGATCGATTTTGTTTTGGATCACTACAAGGAATCTTCCATAAAAACTGCACGAGACAAAAGAGAGGCGCCAAAATTGAATCAATACAACGGTTAATTGAAGGTCCGGATACAGTATTACCTCAAAAATGGAATTCATTTATTAATTGAGTTTTTAATAAAAACCAGCTTACACACTTCGTAAGCAATCAGCTAGTTAAATATTCCTTAACAAATTGTACCGGTCACTTCGTATCCAGCAGAGGATTTTGCGACGTTTTACATTACAAAACAAATTTTGGTTTGAATTCTGAAATATTAGTCTCATCACATAAAGAGGCCGATACCAGAATAATATTACACATTCTGTCAGCAAAAATGGAGGGATATACAAAATGTATAGTCGACTGTAAAGTTACCGATCTGCCCATTTTAAAGACCTTTCAACTCCAGAAGTTTAGATGAGGGTTGGAACAAAGGACAACGAAAGATCTATAGGTATTCACGAACTCTCTATGGATTACTTTATAGGTATCTGCAGTTAAGCTACAATATGCCAATCATATTGTAGCTTAAAAACCATTCGTCTAGTTTTGTGCTGGTTTTAGTAAATCACACGATTCCTCCTGCATCTTTTGAGTTTGTATTTATGTGTTTAAAGCTATATCTACAAATAGTTGGTAAAAGTTTCTGTTCAAACTTTTCACAACAAAATTTCCTCTAATAAAGTCTTCATGAAATTCTGGATACTTATCAGCAAATTTGTACATGTCCAACAAATATAATGTTCCCCAAAAAGAATAGTTCACATGGCCAAATGCAAAGAAGTAAGGATGCATTTTTCGAAAACTAGAACAAAAATGTATTCTCCAGTTTCCGCGTCCTTCAACAATCTGAAAAGGAAATGACTTTATGGAAAAAAAACATGCCTTAATCTGATTTTTGACTCAAGTTCACTGTCAGACCTGCTGCTTTTCGTTAAATCCGTTTCTAGATAAAAAAAATATTTACTTTAATATTAAGTAGATATTTAATATTTTTATTATAGCAATAAGCTAATTAATAACTTTTAATAATTTAAAACTTTTAATATTAAAAATCTCAGCTCAGTGGATTTCGCGCTATTAGTAAAAAATAATGCACAATGATGCACTTTCGCAATAGAATATACAACACAACAGCGTTTCAATGTAAAATCGACCCTAACAACATCGCCATCACTAGAGTCGATTTGCTTTGACTTCGGCACAGGAATCTCGCCCTTCCTCGCATCTCCGCGTTCAGCAGTCAGTCGTGACATGCCGTTCGATTTATTTGATTTTTTCTTAAACTAATTATCCAATCGAAATTCTAAAAAAAACCCACGTGTTCTCTGATTTTTGGTCTATAATGTTTATAGAAAGTAATTTTTTGCTAAACCCAATATTTTTCGAGGTAGAGCGAGGTAAAAGGTTTTAAAAATATGCGTTTTCAGAACAAGTGATTTTGTATGAAGGCGCTCCGTATACAACAATGGTTTGACGTATTTTTATAAATAAAATAAAAATATTTCTAATGTCCAGATGGGTATGCAAATTTGATGAATGAATGTTCGGATATTGTACATCCGAAAAACGATGAAAAAAAAATAATTGCATTTTTTTTTGTAAGGCTCCCCACCACCCCCCTCCCACTACGATTTTTGGACGACCAAGTGATTTTGCCTTACAAAGATATTAAAAACCAAAAAAAATGGTTTTTACATTTTAGCAATAAAGTTCCCACGGGATAACACAATAGGATCCTGTTTAAACTATACTACTAATCCAGCTGCCTTATTGTCTTTAGAGTTTTTGAAAGCATATTTGGTTTCATCTATCGTGATCTTCTGTCTCTCTAAAGAATTGAATTCTTGTATTTTCTGCATTTCACCTCTTTCATCTTGAAAAAGTCCTCCCATCGTCTTAATTTATCTGGTAAATCTACTAGTAGTACTCCTTTTTTGTTTTTTATGTGTCCTTGCTGTCTATTTCGACCCATTTCAGTCACTTCACTTATTTTTTGTGCATATTTCTCATATCATATTTTGTTTCTAGTTCTTCTATCTCTTATTTAATTATTCGTTGTATTTCTTTATACTTCTGTAGATCTTTTCCATTATATTTTCTTCTTTCTTCCATCTGTAATAGTATTTCTTCTGTCATCCAGTGTTTTTTAGCCTCTGACCTATGTTATATCAAACTTTCTTCAGCTGGTTTCAGTAATGTGTTTTTCATATTATACCAATTTTTATTTGCATCCATAATTTGTTTGTTGTCAGTTAGTGTTTTTTGCGTATTAACATTCACATTATTTTTTAATTCGTTTTTTATTTCTTCGTTTTTTAACATTCTTACTTTAATTTTTGTTGTTGTTTTCTGAGTTCAATTCTTTTTAATTTTATTTTCACATCTTTCTCCAGGGCAAGTTTTAACTGAGGTTATAGATTTTTTATATCTGCTATTTACGAGTATAAAGTCTATCTGGTTTCTGACAATGTGGTTTTCTGTATGCGAAGAAGACGTTCATGTATATAGTCTTCTCTCAGGAAGCTGAAACCAAGTATTGGCAATTACACAGTAAATAGTGGATTGCTTATCCCGGCAAACACTCGGACGTCAGAGCTTCGTTAGTTATCTAACAGGATGTACCAGAAGACCATGATGTAGATCATCAACGAGCAGGTGAGGTTGACATTTGAATAGGAGTGGCTATATTTTGCGCTATCCCATTACATCCCTGTTCAAAAATTAATTGCTATTAATTGAATTAAAAATATTTGCGACCGTTTTTTACCAGCAACCTCTTATCAATGTATTCTCCTATTCCTATTTCAATGTATGTAAAAATGTGAGTTTGATGAACTACGTTATGAACGTAGTGATCCTGCTGTGAGATCTTGTACTATTATTGTTGGATAAAATAGTCTACTACTAATAATTTTATATGTCTGGTAAGTTGTATCCCAGTATATTCGTAGATTTCTTTATGGGATTAGTAACCGTTTAAAATATTTATGTGAGTATTACAAAGGTGTATCAATTGTCGTTAATTTTAGATAGTAAAAATGGTAAAATGTTAGTCTTAATTCTCCCAGGGCGTCAACGACAAGGTGACAAATATAAATAATTTGTATTTATAATCAAGTTTTCGTTTCGAAACAAATTTCTCAAATAAAAGCTTTATATCGACTGTACTATTCGGATTATTTTTACGACACACTGATTCCAGATAACGTTTCCATTCGTTTCGTGAATGTTGTTTTGTCGATATGTACTCGGAATATATTATACTATAATATTCTAAAAGCACCCTCTTCCGGTTTTTATTTTTCGTTTTCACCATCGATTTTTATATAAAAGAATAAAAATATATATTCCTTCAGTTATTTTTTTAAGCCGCAATTGATTTTGTTTCGTCTAATCAGAAGAGGCGGAATGTCGCGTTTCGCGCAGCCTCAGGTTGCCGGAGTAACGATTGCGAAAGTCCAGCTGACGACCCGGGGTGCGTCACAGATCCGAGGAGGCAGCCATGTAGTTGCACCTTTCGCACCGCTCACTGCTTTAGTGTTCTATTAGAACTTAGTTTTAGTGTCTATCTCTAACGACTATTCTTCTTCTTCACTTCTTCCGCGACTTTAATCTGTACTACTAAGCACTTTTTTCTGGTGAAAACAGTCTTTCGAAACAACAGGGTTAAACAACGACTGATAACATCAACATTCTGTCAATTTCAACAATAATTTTTCTCGTAGTGTAGTGTAGCTATTTAAGCTTTGATACATTTTTTGAATGTTTTACTTAAATGTTGAATTTTACATTAAAAATACTTAATAAGATATAATTTAGGTGAGTTACAATTTATAATTTTTGAAAACTGACGTGAATGTCGTCAATTACGAAAATTGCGCAAAATGATAGTAAGTTTTTATTGGTTAGGTGATACAGGGAATTAAATTTAACATTGTTTTACAAGATTTTAAAAACAGAAACTAAAACTATTCTGCATTTTTTTTAATTTCCAACTCGAAATATTTTTCCTGGACTAGACAGAATAATATTTTTGTTTTTTAATATTTATATTTATTTTTCGTATTATTTTTGTCTGGTGCTCTCATTTTAGTTATTTTACTGACAATCATTTAGTTTTAGTGTCTAAAGTAGAATACTTTTCCTCTACTTCTGTTCTTTCGCGATTTTACTATGCACCATTAAATACTTTTCCTTTGTGAAAAATAATATTTTTTTCACGCATTCATTTTTATTCTTCCTATTTCTTTTGTCTGGTGCTTTCATTTTAGTTGTTTTAGTGTCAATCATTTAGTTTGTCTCTATCGTAGAATACTTTTTCTCTTGATTCTTTCGCGACCTTACCATGCACTATTAAATACTTCTCGCTTGTGAAAACGGTCTCAACAATAAAGTTATATAAGTCTGGGATCAGAAACATTTTGTTTCAAACACTAATTACTCTTAGTATAGTTTAACTGTTCAAGCGATGCTTTTATACATTAGCCTCAAAAATATACGGGGTGTATAATTCAAATGTTTTTTAATTTATAAATTTCGCTATATACATTAACAAATTAACAAAAAGTGTAAGTTTAACGATAAAGTGATATTGAAATCCTCGAAATAAACGCACCACCTTAAATATACCATAATTTTGAAGATATATTTAAAATTATTACGTATTATTTCATTAGTTTCTTCTCAGATCCTTAACTCTCGTGTTTTCTTAAGTATTTCTCGTTTACTAGGATTTGGTGGTATCCACTGCATGGTCAGTTTGTTTTCATCGATTCTTTAATGCGTCGTAGAGTGGTATTTTATATAAAAATCTGGATAAAACCAACATTTTTAAAACTAACATTTCGGACCGATTGTTGTCCCTAAAGTAGGTAAAGGTAGTAATAAGTGGCGTTATCTGGTGCTATCCCCTTCCCAAATAACTAAACCAGACAAATTTGTCAGCTGTCACTTCGTAACACGTTTTGGCTGCGTTTTGTTTTGAGATATTCAGCATTTACTTTCTTCGGACATATCCTCAACTGCCTCTTTTGTTTTATTGTTACATTGCATGTTTACAATCTACTCTATACACAAAGTAATACGTAAATAGTCTGTAAGTAAATTAACGTGAGTTATTGCGATAGGTCTTCTGGCCATACTTCCCTTCAATCTTCTTTCGGCAATTGGTTGGGTGAATAAATTATTTATAAGTTCGTTGTTGTGAGTTGTGAGTTAAGTATATTTTATTGAGTGATTCTTTATTACATACATACCATGGAGCTTTACTTATCATACGGAGTATTTTGGATTGAAGTATCGTATTTTAAGGTTTACTACAGCCTCATAGTTCTATTCAATATGCCCAAATGAGTATACCCTCTAGGGTATGAGTATAGCTTTGTACAGAAGCTATACATAACCATGTAAGTTTTTCATCCAGATGTAGTCCCAAGTATTTGACAACTGGTAGACTGCATCTAAACTTGTAGACATGTAGATTTTCTTGTTGTAAAAGTTGCTAGCACATTAACACTGATCTTTCATCGCTTAAGTCAGTTTTGTAATTGGACTAAATGATTTTGTACTTTTTGTGATGCTACATTAGGGTCGATATCCACTGCCAAGATTCCTATGTCATCGGCAAAAGTAATAAGAAATGCAGCATTTCTGGTTGGAACGTCTGCTGTAAATATCAGATACAGAAATGGGTCCAAAAAGCTATCAAAAATCATTTGAATTATAAAAATAAAGAAATCGCAAATCATACAAAAATGTGTAATAAAATCTCAAAACTAAACGCAGCTAAAACGTGTTAGGAAGTGACAGCTGTCAAATTTGTTTGGCTAGGTTATTTGGGGAGGGGATATTACCAGATGACGTCACATATAACTACCTGCTTGGAGACAAGAATCGATCAGAAATGCTAGTTTTTGAAATTTTCATTTGGCCAACTCTTTGCACCGCAGTCAGACGTCATCATTTCTAAATCTGTCCCGTCTGGATATACTCAAGGCTCATCTAAAACGTATCCATCTCGCCTCGAGCTTTCTTCTGTTGTTTTTCTTGATGTTTTCTTCAGGTCTCTGCTAACTATTAACCATAGGTTAATAGTTAGCTATTTTCATTAGATCTGATTCTTTTTATAAATTTACTTGATCCAACATTTTATTGTACCGAGGTCTGAGGTGCATATTAGTTTCCTTGCATTTATTGTCCTACTAACTGTCTTTGCATTACTAATAGTTCATCATGTAATTCTTTTTATTTCTAAGTATAGGTTTCTGTCATCTTTCGTTTTTGTCTTAAACCATTTTAGGTGCAGTTGTTTCTTCTGAGTGATCAGCTCTTTTATAGTCTTTGCATTACTAATAGTTCATCATGTAATTCTTTTTATTTCTAAGTATAGGTTTCTGTCATCTTTCGTTTTTGTCTTAAACCATTTTAGGTGCAGTTGTTTCTTCTGAGTGATCAGCTCTTTTATACCTTTTGTCTCAGTAGATTTTGTTGCCGAGATCTCTAGTTTTGACACCGATTGCTTTATCTGTGACATATTTTATAGTTCTCCAGGTTCTCGTACACTTCTTTTATAGGTTTTTGATCTATAATAGACCAAAGTTCAAGTTTTTCATCTAGCCTGTTGCGTTGTAGCTGCTGTCAACTTTCGTGAATTAGACTGTTCCAAATTGTAACGTTTCTCCTCTATCTTTTGGTTTCTGGAAGCCCTTCATTTGAACGCAACGATGCGTCATTGTTTAGATCGATATGGGAACAATATTTCTACTTTGATAATATAATGGATCGATCCATATGTTATCCCTCTATAATAATATGCATAGTTTTTTTTTACAATTACGAAATCAATAATAGATTTTAGATTTCTCATTTGCTGTACCCTTGTGTGTGTAAGAATATCATTGTGTTTGTACAAACGGTTTAACCATTTCTTCATTGTTTTCAACATTTCTCATTGTGATTCATATTTAGTTCTGTATACAGTCCCACTCTATTCCGGTCTATATTTACCAATATTACAATTTAGCACCAGATTATGGCTAATGAACAGGACGATCATTATTAGCGTTCTGTTCATGTTGATCTTTAGTTCGACCTCCAAGGAAACGTGATATAATTTTTCTATTTTTATCTATTTTTCTAATATTGCTATTGCTCATACATTCGCTCGACTAAAAGGATGATGTCATCTGCGAATCTCAAATGATTGAGCTTCTCCCCATCTATGTTGATATCATATTCATTCAGATCTGCCTTCTTAAAAGTATGTTCTAAAATTATCGTAAATAGCGTTGAAGAGACAATGCCTCCTTGCCATTCTTCTCGCTGTACATACAATTTATTTTTTTCTAGTTCAGATAGTCTTACGCTAGCTGTGGCGCCGGTCTATTCTACATTCTGTCAATGCTGTTAGCCTTTTCTGCTTGTTTATAACATCGAATGCTTTCTTGTTGTCCGCAAATATCAGTGCCAATGGTTTGTGTTTTTTGCACTTGACTTCTCTATCAGGTTCTTTATCACTAGTAAAAGGTCTTATGATTATAATTTGATGATGACGATTATGAGCAAATTTCATTCTTCTTCCATCTCATCTTCGACAACTTTTGGTTCTCTGTTCGTTTTTAAACGTTCTTGGTCGGTATTTGGTCGTTACAATTAATATTGAGTCTAGTTCTTCTAAATGTTTGAAGCTCATCTGTAAGACATGCCTCTGCGATATCAAACATGGCAGCGCCTTATAACAGCGGTTTTAGAATGTTTTTGTAAATCCAAAACTTAGACTTTAATACTGTGTGTCACAAGTTTCTTTTAGTAATCTATAGATGTGTTGAATACATTTGACTTTTTTGGTCTAAATCTAGTCTCATTAATTTCTAGTAGTAGGTTTTAATATCTTTGTATTTAGTTTAGGTTTTGTTTTTTAGAAATACCAACCTCTCACTATTGAATACCACTCAGATCAAACCCAGATCAAAGTAATGGGGATTTAATTTCATCCCATATTATTGAAAAAGAAATATGTACATAAAATTTCTAAATTTTTTAGCGAATCATACTCTTTGAGTAGTCTTGATTTACTAAATTATCATTTTAATGAAGGGGATACGAACAAATTCTTATTCATCACTAAAATTATTTTTCCAATAATATATTATTGGAAACATCTAAAATGGCTCGTACGATAGCTTGTGACGTCCAGAAAATTTTTATGAGATACTCCAGCTTACCAGGTTTATTAGGGCTCGATAACACGGAAGCTGTCCCCTAAAGCTCAATCCTTTCAATTTGCAATCGTAGTAACTAATAGCATTTTTAATAAGATGCACTTTCTAGAATGTAATTTCATCATGTTAGTATGTAATAAATTGCTAATAATATAAAATATAATAGTTTAAAACGTAACACAATCTTAAAGAAATCGAAGTAAATATGGCGCTTGCTTAAATTTTTCTGTTTGTCATGATAACAAAACATTATAGAAGAATGGAAAATGAGTACAGTAACATTTTTATTGTATTATTGCACCGAAAAGTGATTTTTTTGCACCATATATAATTTCAATAAAGTTTTGCTTTTGGCATATCTGTCATGGTTTAAAATCTTTGAAAACTCATAAAAATCGGAAATCCAAAGCCTACGTATTATTCTCAAAATTATAGGTACTATTTACCGCACTATATTTTAGTACAGTTTGAAAAAAATATAATTGACATATTAAGATAATTGTAGTAGAAAAAATATATAATTTTTGTGAATTACATAACTCTTGAAAACCGTAATGAAAGTCGATAAATCTGGAACTTATAAAAGACCCTCAAGTTCAT